TGTTCGGTCAGGATGGCTGAATACTGGCCTTGTTCTTTTTGGCGTTTTTAGTGACAGAGACGAATACACTCGCAAAAAAGAACTTGGCTAATAAGCAGCCATTTTGATTGCACTCTTGGTCAATAACAACACATATTTAACAATTCAATGCAATTGATTTTATTTTTCACTTTTCCTTTAAGGTAATTTGCTCCTACCTGTTTATGCCATTTGCATTCCTCATGGGTGTAGATTGGGCTGATTGCAATGCTGTGGGAATGTTCCTAGGTATCAAAACATTTCTCAACGAGTTAGTAGCCTACGTTGAGATGGCACCATACATAAAAAATAGACAGGAAATGAATGGAGAACCTTCTATATCGGTAAGACAATCACCCCAAATTCAGTGAATGTTGCAATAAACCGTCCTTTAAGTTCCGCCCCTTACACAGTGTAATCCCTGATCCCCCCCGCCCCCCTCTCAGGAGAATGGAAATTGCCTCGGAAGGTATGAAAAGTCGGGCCGAATCGTGATAAAATAACTTTGTTTGACTGGGGAAGTTAAGTCAGTTTTAATCCAAAGTAGTAGTATAGGACGCACCGGAAAAACCAATAGAACTTTTCTCATTACGTTACGGCTCAGTGATTATAAGTCACAGGCGAGCTGGCGCTTTTTTCTTCGACAACATGAATAAACCAACGAATACTTTTCTTAGTTCTTAGTCAACCAATGAAAAAGCAAGACCTTCATTTACCTAGAAATAACTAGAAAACCTGTTCAACGGGTTAAACCGCATTCTGCCCCCTGGGATAAAGACAAAACAAGACAAAAGGCCACGACGTGATCGACGTTAATTTACTTTTCGGCAAGTCAATGTGATTCCTAAGTAAAACAACGGATAATTCGTTGCGCCCTATACTACTCAAATTATCGAAAGGTTCGAGAGCCCGAGGTTTCGGGGAATCGGCATACTACCATACACCCTTTTTGGACCTTTTTTGGCAAAAAGGTAACGTTTTCATATACCTTAGATAAAAATGATATCCCTTCCATGACTTTGATAATAACATCGAGATAGTTTGTAAATAAACATTCTTTTATGACCGTTGACCCTCTGATATAGTTAAGAACAAAACATAAGAAAGTGAATTCTAAAACTGTGTAATATTTTCTTGGTCTCATCTTTTTTAGCGCCGATCGGAGGTCATCGCTACATACGCACTCTGTGGCTTCACCAATTTTCTTGGTCTGGGAGTATTACTTGGCGGTTTGGGACCGATGGCGCCAAGCCGACAGAGTGACATGGCGAGGATTGCTATAAGAACCCTGTTTGCCGCCACCATAGCCTGCTTTATGACTGCCAGTATTGCTGGTAAGTATCCTGATATGGTGGCTTGTAAGGAAACCAAGACGCGCCGCTTATTGGGGTCCTTAAAACGTAATAAGAGCAGTTTGCCACAAAGTGAAACAAATCATCTTCCTTTTCACTTAGCTTGGAGATTGCCGCAATTACTCCCCAAGCATTGTTGTAATTTGCCAAAAGAGAAAATATTGGCATTTTTCTTCAAAACCTCACAAATACTGAAATCGACATCCTATGGGTACCTGGTGACTTGGTATTAGTATCGACAAGAGTCTTTTGGCGTTTATAACCATCTAAAACAAGCCACTAATTTTACAGACATTAATAATTATCCAATAAACGCGGTCAAGAGATCATGACGGGGTTTACTTTGTAAATTTCCTGTTGATTTTGTTTTGACTTGATAGGTTTTCTGTACGATGAGTCATTCGAAGGAGTGGCCTCTGTCACCCCAACAAGTATAACAACACTGGCGCCAACTACGTCTACATAGACCACGTTTAATAGGGAGTTTAAGATGGGCTGCGGGGTTTGCAACAACAACGTTAAAACAGCAATAGTTTTTTTTGGAATAAACGTGACAGGTTTTTTCACGTGTGCACCATGCTATTTGGTCCACTTCTTTGCCGTCACGACTTCGACGTGAATTTTCCTGATGCGCCGTTTTATGGAAGACGTAAAAACAAGACGACCGATTTTTCTTTCTCTTTCTGAACTTGAATGTGGTGTTAATAATTCAATTCCAGGAGAATTCGGCCACATCTGAAAATGAATTGAGTTGGAATAATGCCGATAAAGTTTAAAGGAGCAAAAGATCACTTTCTATAAAGAAACGTTTTCACTGCTGTCCCCGTTCTCTATTTTAAACTCCTAACAGCTTAATCTAACGGAGATGCCTTCGCTAGCTGACCAGTTCCGGTTTGCTACTGGGAAACTGAGAGAAAAAATTAATCATTGTCTGACTACATGCCAACAAGCTCGTTCGTTTTCTAACGCTTTAAAACTCGCGAACGTGTATGTATCGTATCAATGTAAGTATCGTGAATGTATAAATCGTATCGAGAGAAGTCTTGATCATTTACAGAGTTTTCTTTTGTTCTGTAAAATCATTGAATAATATTAATAATAATTATAATTTAGATTTTTGTATGGTAACAGTTAGACATTCTTCAGTGTGGGGACCGTGATGGCAAAAGAACTATCCAGATTGAAATAAGCTTCTGAAATCAATAGTTGTCCATATTTTCCTACGTAATGTTCCTTCAGAGAGTAAATACTTGGAAATGTACATATTAATTGTCAAATATGTATACATTTTAAGACGTATTTAATTGCTATTTTCAAACACTTTTGTATTCACATAGTCTTCAATGAAAGTAATACTTTACAGCTAACTATCTGTACAAATTCCTCAGTTTTTTGTTCATTAAAAAGACAAAGGCTATCATGTAGCTTGCGATTTTTAAATAGTAAAGCTCTAAATACCGGCGCTCCTTAGACATACGCCGCTCCAACTGATTGATTAAACTGATTTAATTGTAACCCAGATATTTTTTATCTCGAAAGTCTTGATAAACTTTCCCAAGCTTCAGAGACGTTCATCGGGTTTATATGCGGGCAACAACCTACACCGCAATTTAAGACCCCCTGGAATTTTCTGAACTTTCAGGGATAAAGCCCCGGTTACCTACGTGTATATACTCCGTACTAGAGCACAGAAAGAGTGACAGGTCTGCTATTAACAGTCTAAGGGGGTAATAACGTGGCGAACTTCATCCCGGGCTGAAATCCGCCGTGTAATCACCCCTATAAGGGCCTCTTAACATGAGCCCGGTTGACCGGGCTGGCTCAGTTTCCGAGATTTCGCCTTACCTCTATATCCCTTATCCCATTTTCGGTGTGTTCATATGAGAGCGCGGGCTGGCTCTGTTTTTCCAACAGGATCTCGGTAAGCGGGCTGAAAATTTTGACATATGAACACTTTAGCCGGGTTACCGGGATGAACGGCGGGATGAATTCTGGCGGCCCGCATGGCATCGTCTTGCATTGCCTGCTGCATTTTTCACATCATAAGCATCCCATTTAACTGCACTGATACAGCTTTAAGAGTTGCCGAAGCTATGATAAGCGCGAAAGTTAAAATTTTTGTGTTTCGCCATGTTCGCTTTGTTTCTCGATTTTGGCGCAAGAACTCGTCCCATGATCTTTGGCCTTTTTTCATTTCGCAAACCGGGTTGAAATTTCTCATATGAACCCAAGGCGAAATTCATCTCGGTAACCGGGCTCATGTGAAGAGGCCCTAACAAGAACTTAAGTAAGAAACCCGCTAGGAACTTTACTGAAGTCACTCACCAGCGCACAGCAAAACCCCTGACAATCTGAAAAATGTGGACGGTAAATTTCAGGAGCACCCAACGAGAATATAGTTCAAAACCACTTACACATAGTATTGTTAAACGTATTTTAGTATTTAAACGGTAGATATAGGGATATTTTTATCCCCTAAAATTTTTCATCTGTTCGGATTTCCTAGCTGAAAGTCTAGTGATCCGAAAATTATAGGGATCAAAACTTCCCTTTTCGAAAATTCCAGCCAGAAAAAAGGTTCCCGAAAATTCTAGGTGACCTTTTTAGGGTAAAAACCCGTTTAAAATGAGCAATTATACTACTTCTTAGACGTTCGAAAATCCTAGGGGAGGAAGGCAAGCAAGAAATTTTACAACAAATGTTCCGAAAACTCTAGATCTCAAATCGTCTTCCGAACAGATATTTTCCGAAAATTGACGTTGGGTGCCCCTGAAATTTGCCTCGCCTAAACTGCAAACAAATCATTTAAAAGCAAACTTCCTTTACATTCGGCTCTTTCATGGAAAAATCGGTCCTAAGAATAAGGAAGTTCTGAATCTGCTGCTAAATTCAAACGGACGACTACTGAAAGAACTACAATAGAACCCCGGTAANGCAATTATACTACTTCTTAGACGTTCGAAAATCCTAGGGGAGGAAGGCAAGCAAGAAATTTTACAACAAATGTTCCGAAAACTCTAGATCTCAAATCGTCTTCCGAACAGATATTTTCCGAAAATTGACGTTGGGTGCCCCTGAAATTTGCCTCGCCTAAACTGCAAACAAATCATTTAAAAGCAAACTTCCTTTACATTCGGCTCTTTCATGGAAAAATCGGTCCTAAGAATAAGGAAGTTCTGAATCTGCTGCTAAATTCAAACGGACGACTACTGAAAGAACTACAGTAGAACCCCGGTAACTCCAACTCTGAAGGGAATCGAAAAACAGTTCGAGAGCGAGGGTTCGAGTCATTGAGGTCGATTGACAAATTCAATTTGCCGTGTTAAACATTGATAGTTACTAATTTCTCAGGAATTTAGGGATTGGTGAAGTGCAAATTTACTTCTTTTATCAAAAACGGTAACATGATTAGGCATTTTTACGATAACACGTGATCTGTTGGTTTCACCGATTAAAATCAAATTGCTTTTAATAGTGACCAGTGTCAGTTTTAGTGTTTTTAACCTTATAAAACAAGAATTAGTGGGATCGTATCCGAGTAGAGTTAAAAGAACAAGAATTCGAGTTATCGGGGTAAATTTCAGTGACTTTTTGATCAAGGGAAATGAATTTTAGTTCGAGTTATCCGAGTTCGAGTTATCGGGGTTCTACTGTAACTGAGGATAATGATAGAAAGTGAGAATGGTCAGGCAACACTCCTTTAAGAGAGTGTACAGTGTATTAATCACTCCAGTTGTTCGGGTACCAGATTCACTGTAACCCACTGAGACAAAGTCATAAGCAATCAAGCAGGTGCACTTTGTCTCAGAGCACAAGGGCGGATACATTTAAAACCTCTATGAAGATTGAGACAGCAGTGGCTGAGTGTCATTTATTGACTCGTGTAGTCTTGCAGGTACCTCCTGTTGAGAAAGATCAGCAAGGTTACGATAACACACTTTTCCCAACATACGACCCCATAGTCCCCCCTCCCCCCCCAGAATATCTACCGTTTAGACAGGGTGAAATACAGCCGGACCTAACCTGCGATCAGTTTAAGAACGCCTGATCGCAGGTTGTGCGCATTACATCATATATTTAAATGCTATTTTGCACCTTCTAAATAATAAATTATTATTATTTGTTAAGCCGGACCATCTGTAAGCGACCACTCAAAATGCCAAGAATTAGCAGTTGCTTTCGGAGAGGTGATCGCTTGAGAGGGCCCGACCACAGAGGCTCTCAGTTGCGGTAACAAGTTCAGGTACATACATAGCCTGCGAGCAGGCTCTCCCATTTGGGCGAGTGAAACGAGTCTCGCGAGAACGCGCGAGGGGAAGAGGCCTTTCGGCCCCTCCTTGCGCGTTCTCGCGAGGCTCGCTTCGCTTGCCCAAATAGGGGACCTTGCTCGCAGGCTAATACATACACTTATTACCGGAACATTCATTGTATACAATTTCTACGTAACGCGGTTCTATGTTGTCACTAAAAGTTCTCCGCATGCTAGGAGAAGCGTATGATGCTTAAAATGCGTGCAATTCGACTATCGGTTTGGGCTCCCAGGTCTTTTTCTCGAGGGTGGAGGGGGAGAAGGTGGGTGTACTAGCGGTCCGAAATAATTAGAACTTTACCTCTGAATGCATGACCGGACTCAGTGGACCACGTCCGCCTCCATCACCAGTGTCGACTGATTTCATTCGTTTAAATTTTGCTCTAGCAAAAGATATTTGCTTCTTCAAGTCGTAGCGATGTCTAAGGATATCTGCCTCATCCCAAATTTCTTCTTGAATCAACAATTCTATCACATCCTCTAGAGTTATGATACCAACAACTCGCTAGTAAACAACGATAACAACAAAAACAAATATTCAGAAACCAGAAGGGTACAAAAATCTCGCGAAAATTTTTGACGACAGTGAACAACCCCCTGAAAATCAGTCTCCAAATTGGCGACTACAATTCTTCAACACACTTCGCTTGAGGACCTTACAAACATTTAAAATGACTCTAGCATGATGAGCATCAGAATACGTTTGTTTGTTACTGAAAAATATCAGAATCGGTGAGTTTCAAGAACAAAATATGTCACAAGTGTTTATTTGTGTGCATAGCTTTGAGCCACAAAAGTTGTTACGGCATTATATGGTCCCCTCAGTTTACCTCGAGACAGATTAAATGTTTATAAATATACCATATACCTGCAGAAACATTAAAAGATAAATGCTCGTGATTGTGATTGCGGCTGGGTTCCCTGTTTTTCTTGTTTCCTGCCCTTTTAGATCACGTGATGAGTTTTGTTGTTGTTGTACGGAGTTACTCGATATATCAGTTGGAGCGATCACACGAAGTAACGACGTTTTAACACTTGACAACGTATATATATCCTTGTTTGTACGGATTGCTTGGTCTTGTCCGACGTATATATCCTTGGTTGTACGGACTGGTCTGTTTCGTCCAAATAATCTGTTAACGCCAGTTTACAAGTGGATTTGCACCTTACAAAGGGTGTTAATGTAATCTTAAAATTACAGGTCGACATAAGTTTCCATTTGTTAAGAAGAAGTGGGCACTGATTTTTTGAAAAAAATAAAAAACAATGTAGAAGCGAAGGCTCAAGGAAAAAAACAGTTGATTTATGCCTTGAAAACAAAACAAAATAAAAAATACAGACGTACAAAATTGCAGCAAGTGGTATCACCGTCGTGTCCTTTTCAAATCATGCTGGGTTTTTATGTTTAGCGGTGCTGTTTGTGTTTTAATTACGCAACTGCATACTTGTAACTTACTGTTAAAATATGATTTCCTTCGTCTATCTGAGTCTTGTTCACAACACACAGGTGACCTATAAGGGGAAAATTCCGTTCGTTCTTAATCCTTTTTTATCCATGCGTGTGAATTTATGAACCAGCGACTACACGGGAAATTCAAACGAGTGCCCAGCGGTTACTCTACTGAGGCAGCGAGCCGGGGCACCAAGTGTAAACACAGCCGAAGACAGACAAGGTTGGGACCATTATTTTAAGTGTCCGACTTGGAGCAGACTGCAAAACAGTCGGCTTTTCTCAAAATAGGTTTAGTGTAGCGTAAGAGTCTCACGCGCGCGAGTCTTGCAAGGCTAGAGAAAACCAGTCTCGCTCTCCGTTTTCATCCTCGCGACAGAGCTTTTGTTTGACTGTTCACGCGGACTTGAATATGCAAAAATACGGACTGTTTTGTTGTCTAGACTTGGAGAGGTAGGCACCGTCTTTATATAAACAGTGAAACAAAATGACTTCAGGGGCGGATTCAGGATTTTTTTTAGGAGGGGGTGCACTCGTCTCTTGCTCTACTTCAACACCAATAAACCACATAGGGTTTTTTTTTTTTTTGCAGAATACCAGTTGTATTAGAAAACCGCAGGTCATCTCGGGGGGGGGGGGGGGGACGCCCCCCCTCCCCCCCCCCCCTAGATCCCCCCCGGGCCTTAGGGGTGGGAAAGGCCCACCCCTAGGTATCTTTTTTGGGAAAGGGTTTTTTTTATAGAGGGTCAACTGAAAGGAGTAAAGAAAGGGAGGGGCGGGAACACACCAAAGCGCCCCAAAATCACTTCGGCGGAACACAGCATTAAGGGCCCNACAGAGTCATGTCGCCCGAATTTTATCAGGTCAAGTGCACAGAAAAACAAAGTTAATTTTTGTTAAACAAAAAAAAATTTTTGTTAGACAAAACAAGCGCAATGAATGTGCAACATACCATACCAAAAACCTCACGGCAAAAACAAAATACCTCAAGGCAAAACCAAAAACCTCACGGCAAAACCAAATACTTCACAGCAAAAGCAAAATAGTTTTGGTCTTGCCGTGGGTATTTGCTTTTGCCGTGGAAAATATTTGGTTTTGCCGTGAGGTTTTTGTTTTTTTCGTGAGGTATTTTGATTTTGCCGTGAGGTTTTTGTTTTTGCCGTGAGGTTTTTGGTTTTGCCGTGACAGTTGTGGGCCACCGTAGATGAAACAAGCGGTATAAATATCTCTATCTTTAACCCTGGATTACCAACGAAACAAGCCCGATGAATGAGTAATATATCTGTTCTATAATCTTCCATGAGACGAAGCAAGCGCGGAAAGTAGTAATAGGGATGCTAGGATTTTGTCGAAGCATGATAAATTTCGAGCCCAACAATTCAGCATTTTGGGCGACTTGACTAAACATTTTAGGGACAAACTCTAGGTGTCAGTTTTAGGGAGGTGTCCACCTTATATGGAGTTGTCTCTTCATGAAGAGTTGACTGCACATCAAAACAACTTACTTTTTCCAGTCTGAAATTTGTCCAGTAGCTCAAACAGTGGTTCGCTTGTTGATGATGTGAGGAAAGAACCAGCCCTGTAAATGTCCCTTATTGGAGTGTTATCGTCTGGGTCTAACATTACCAATGACTTGACAAAGAGAACCCCCACGATATTTTCTCTTTCTCCACTGTACACTGGCACGCGTGAATGGCCTTTCCTACTGATCTGCAAATAAGCACCACCTTGTGAATAAGGGTACTTTGGAGCCCAATAAAGGGCACATAGCCTTCGGGGCAGCGTAAAGGCTCCTACAAAGCCCCTGTTTGTCATGTCACCATGGAACACTCCTCTCCTAGAAGCATTGTGTGATGACACAAAGAATGACTACCACTGAGACTATTAACCCTTTCACTGCCAAATGTAGTTAAAGGCAAATTTCGACCAGATTTCCAAATTTCATTTTCTAACATTTTGAAAAACAAAAAGTACCATGTGAAACTACAGGCAGGGAGCTTTCATTTGAATGGTGACATCACAGGATTTCATCCACAAACGCAAAAGTTACAGTCACCTTTCAAAACTCCATCAAGCACTCTGGCAGTGATGGGTTAATTTTAAGTACAAAGTGTAGCCTGCGAATACAGCTGCCAAATATTGTTGGGCCACTCATCACTACCCACTACTTGATACAATTCAAAACACATCTCAGTGATGACGAGTCTTGAGAGACACCTGTATTCACAAGCTACAGAGACTAACAATAATGCAGTGTGCTGTGACATTCAATAATTAATCGTGATGACTGACGAAAAGATTAGAGGGGAAATAGCACTAAATAATTTTGTTCTGTTTCTTTAAGAGGCCTTATCGTTTTTTAAGCACAACAAAGAAAGCTTAAGAGAAAAGGATGCATAGTCCTGTGTTATTCATGAATGGGAAAATTCAAGGGCTGGCCTCATATCAGTGGCACTAGCTGAAGATCATTAAGAGAAGGGCAAGTTATATTTTAAAGTTTTTCCTAGTTGATAAAAGCCCAAATTTAAAGTAAACAAATGCAGCAATTTAAGTTTACCTCTTTCATTGTATCTTGATCCAGTTGCCTGTTGATATCCAGCATGTACACGTTTTCCAGGGGTGTGTACTTATCTTCAACGGTTTTGTTTCTCATTTCTAGAGCTCCCTACAGGCATCAAACAGTCATGTCAACAGGCACCGTTTAAGTATCAGGGTTCATTCAAAAAAATGTGCGACCATTTTTGAAGGCTAGTTTTCACTAGCAACAAAGTCGAAGTTATAATCAGAAGCATAGAACTATACGATCCAGGGAAAATGGCATTCTGATTCTTCTGATTCCACTTACGACTCAGTCGTTTATGATCAAGTGAAAACTGGCTTGTCAGAGTCACAAGCAGAAGCGAAGGAACTAAACCAATCACCAAGCGTGGGAACATGCATTGTGATTGGTTTATCCTTCTGCTCCTGCTTCCGACTTCCACAATCTGGTTTTCACTAGATCATAAGCGACAGGGTCCTAAGTGGAGTTGGAAAAAAATGGAAACGTTCTGATTCCTCTAACACCCAATTTTTGATTTTCACTAGGTCTTACGACTCCGGCTCCAACTCTGTCGCTTGGGAAAACCAGCCTTAAGGACTTTTCAAGGACCACATTCGATTTTCAAGGACCACCTACCAGGAATGTAATGTGACAGATTGTACGAAAATGCACATTCTCTGCGTATTTGCTCCACCAAATTCTCTACATTTTTCAGTTCACTTGTCTTAAATTGATAGGCAATTCTTGCATAAAACAAAAAAAAAACCGCTTTATGTAAATCACCTTTAACTTCTCTCTTAGCTATGATATGTATTCTGTCTTGGACAACCAAAAAGCACTAGAAAAACACCTTCCAGGCCACTACATTCCATGTTGAAGAAAATTCAAGGACTTTTCAAGGACTTGCATAGAAATAGAAGGACTTTTCAAGGACTTCCCTTAAAATTAAAGGACTTTTCAAGACTGTTCAAACCCTGAGCATTGCTTTAACCCCTCACTGCAAAAGTAAAATAATTAACTGAAAAAAAAAAAAATTTTTGGTATAAATTATCCAAAGAAATGTTAAATATAGTTCTTAATGCAAAACTTCTGCCAAAGAAATTTAATTTGAATGGAAACACCCTAGGATTTTGTTCTCAGAATTAAAAGTTAGAGTGGCAAGTCAATCTGTCTTTAACTTGGTCTAGAAGGAAACAGGGAGCAAAGAAAGTCAGTTTTACAGCCTGCCATTCGGGCAAGCTGTAGCTAGCATGTACTAGCCCGAAAGCCATTTCAACTAGCCGAAAAAAATTTGATGAGCAGGATTGATTACAGTTCTTGGGTAATTTAAATTTCCCCGAAAAATCACTTGTCCATTGGGCAAGTTAACCCTTTAAGCACCAATATCCACAAACAAATTCTCCAAACTGATCTCTATACATTTCCTTTAAGAATGAGTTGGGAGAAATTGATAAAAGATCAGAGATTCTTCTCTTTATGATCATTTGATTAATTCTCATAGATGTTGCACTTGACAATCTATGGATATTGTTAGGAGAAAATTGATGTTGGTCACTATTGGGACTTAAAGGGTTAAGAACAGAATTTACTAGCCCGACCGCAAAATCCACTAGCCCCTGGCTATCAGAAACCACTTTCTTTGCACGCTGAGGAAAAGCGTTAAAAAATAAATGAGATTTCAAAAACTCATAATATTCAACAAGCATATTGTCTAATCGGAAGTCAACCTCGTTTCCAGGTTCCCCCCCTCTCTCTCTCTCTCTCGCTCCGTAGGGACGGGTAATAGAGAACCCTGGGAATGAGGTTGATGGAAAGCAAGACTTTATTATGTGCACTTGATGTGGTAAAATTGATTTGAATTTATAAATCATTCACATAGCATTAAAAAAGGTTGGTAGGAATAAACCCTGTCACTCAATTACAGATGAATCATATAATTTTCTCTTGCACTTGACACATGTAGTAAAGTCACACAAAAAGGTGTGACAGTTCAGTAAAGGAAATTACACTGCAGGAAAAATTGATTGCCTTTGCCACTTTTCCTTTTGTATGGTTGTAGGCTGCAGGTGGTAAGTCCATCTTCGCCTTGTAACAAAGATGATAAAGTTGTCTAAACTAAGGTACCTTTGACATACCTCAAATGTATACCATTACAGTCTCACAATCCCCTTGGATTACCTTTGCCATGATTCGCTGCCTGTTGCACTCAAATTTTAGTGTACTTATGGCATATTCGCATCAAAGTTTACCTAAAATAACTTCTCATCCGGTGTTATCCATGCACATAACTTTATGAAAATTAATGCAAATTTAATGAGTTCTGTAGTTATTTCTATAGGCTTGCTACCTGTATAATCATGACTTCATCTTGACTAAGGGGGTCCTCATTGGCATCTGTATCTTCCTTGTGTAAATCCACAAGTTCTTTTAACTCTGGAAGGAAACAAACACAGGACGCATTTTAACACCTTTCACAATGATGTGATAACTGATGGGGACCAGTAACCTGCTCACCCCCACCCCACCCCCCCTGCCTATGGGGGTACTTCCTCTTATTGGGGTATACTACAGAGTCTTTGAGACTCTGGCTAAAGAGATGAGTTCAGGGACGGATCCAGGATTTTTTTAGGAGGGGGTGCACTCGTCTCTTCCTGTACTTTAACACTAATAAACCACATAGTTTTTTTTGTTTTTTTGCAGAATACCAGTTGTATTAGAAAACCGCAGGTCATCTCAGGGAGGGGGTGCGCACCCCCTGCACCCTCCCTCTAGATCCGCCCCTGGAGTTGTCAAGTTGTTCCATATAATAAGTGTGTGGCAAACTCAGTGATATAAAAACAGTAAAGGGGGCATAGTATAGGATAGTTTTATATGTAAGCTTGGTGGCAAATAATCAGGGATTATGTGGAGAAGAGCATCCCTGAATCAGAGTCAAACTAAAGTAAAATACAGTATACCACTATTCCAGAGATAAAGGGTGATTTTTCACCCTGCACTGGAGTCAGACAGGTAAATCATACTCTGTTGAGTAGCACATATCTGTATAGATTATATGTTTAGTGCCCTCTCCCATTTAGGCCTCCTACAGAGGCATTCCAAGGGCTTTGTCACACATTCCTCTCCCTTTATCACCATGGACAAATTGGTAAAGCCCTAGGAAAGTCTGCAAGGGAGTCTAGGGGACTGGGTTTAGGGGGTGGAAAACAATGTCCAAACTAGAAGAGACACTAGCTAAGCTGTGAAATGTAAAAGGTCACCTAGCAGTGTGAAAGCTGCTACATGCAAGTTCTCATGAAGTAATAGTTGACGAATAATAAACTACTAAAATGTCAACAATATGTGTGGAACAATAATTAATTAATAACTGAAGGTTATACAGGAGGAGTGCGGGCGACAATGATAGAAGGTCAAGATGCTTTTGAACTTTTGCGCAAGTTTCAAGTGATAAAATAATTGTAAAAACAAGGGTGATCATATTATGAAAGAAGAAGGTCCAAACAGCTTGATCAGATTTGCATTCTGTGCATTCAATCCATCCTTAAGGGAAGTTCAAATGAAGCTGGCTCCATGTACGTGCCAACCACATGTACATTTAACAGCAACTTGGAGATTAGGATTACAGGCTCCTTTCATTGCCCCAATTAATTTACAAAGGAACATCAGGGAGAAAACAAATGAAATCACTGCCGAGCACTGTGATTTACCTGCTCTTCTGAAGAATGTGGAATGCTCATGTCCCAGAAGACAGTCAAGCAGTTTTGAAATAGGCCAGGCAACAACAAACATTAAAACCATCAATACCTTTACAAGCCTGAAAATGATAATTACTAATTAAAACATTAAAGTCACTTTACTTCAATGTTAGCAGACAATGACAATTTTGACCATTTTAACAATATTATTTCCCAAGGTCGCAGCTAAGGAAAAGCTAAGCAGGCTTTTTTCATTTAGTCAACCTGGCTTTCTTTACTTAACTGAACCTTCAAAATTACTCCTGGCCATGTCCTTATTTTCACAGCAATTTCAGCTGGTGGTGAGCCCTTTTTCAGCCTTCTGAGAGGTACTATTAAATCAATATTTATTGTTGGTTGATGAGTATTAAAGAGCTCCTTTGGATATGATTGGGTTCTCTAGCAAAATCCTGGCATTCTCAGGAAAAGTCTCCAGTTTATGACTCAAATAAAGTTGGCAGGTACAGTAACTGAGTCGATCCAGCTTGACCCTCCGCAGTGAAACCACAATATGTAACAAAGTGAAAAAGGGACTGTGAAAATATGTTGTTATGGGTCTGGAATATATGTTAAATAAACCATAGCACATTACCACATATTTTAATATGACCAGGGCAAAGAGGAACATTGTTAGTAATATCACTATAATTATACAGTTTTTTTAAAATTATAACAGGGTTTAATGATACTGTGTCCCACCTTTTGCATATTTACAGCCTGCACCATTCAGGGTGTGTCAAGTGAGATAAATATATTATAGTACCACTAAGACTACAGAGCTTACACCAACTTAATACAAGCATAGTTATTGAAACTACTTACGGAGCCAGTGTTGCTCCTATTGCCAGACCATAACGGGTGCAAAGAGCTTGAGGAACAACTCTGTGATAAACCAAACAATGTCACTTACTAAGTCAATTTTGAAGACATCATTAAATGATTAAAATTTTTATATAGATCTAGCTTTTGCTTCCATTGACCACAATGATACAGGTACATTGTAAAGGTAATCAATCCATATGGCTTACCTCATTCAGTTTGAAATTTATTTGCAAGTGTTTTTTTGAAAAGTATCAAAATTGCATAAGCCTGTAGAGTGAATGCAATTTGAGCTTTATTGAAAAACACATGAGTGCAAATTAATTCCACATTACACAAGAAAATTCATATGATATAGTAATATACACAAAGAAGTTTACACTGTTACAGATATGCCAACCTCTGGAGTTCTAAAATCTGGAAACTCTCTCTTTTTCACTATTCCAAGGAAATTTAATGACCCCACCACCGACAAATATGACTAAGGACATTAAATGAGGTCTTACATGAGGAACATACTATCAAAATTTGCGATCATCATTTTCATGCCAGAAATAATCTTTGTCATTGACGAAATCGGTGCAAAAATGCCCCAGAAATCGTACTATGAATAAGAAAAATTCAAGTTTTTTAGCTAAGAATGGGCTAAATCTCAACCTAAGGCACAGTAAAAGTCAAAACATGATTTTATCTGGAAGATATGGTGACCCGTACGGGACACCAGGAGATTGGTGTCTTATCCGGGAGACTCCTAATAATCCAGGAGAGTTGGCATGTACAATATGCTGTTAGCTTTGTGCTAAGTTTTAAGACTTTATATCCAAAAAGTGACCAGAAAACGGCTCAACTAGCTTCAAAACAGCAAAATTCCTAGGAGCAAATGAGTTAAGGTTCAGACTGTCCAAAATCTTCCTTGCACTTACTCCCCAAAAAACAGCACAGCAGTCACAGAAACACAGATGGCAATCACAGGACTAGAGATCCTGTCCATGAAGATTGGCATGGATTCCACAGCTGCAGCATTTGCCAGCAATAGAGTCACCAGGAGTAAGTGGTGTTTTTCTACCAGTGGCAATATTTTGGTTGCATGTCTCTTCTCTAAAGGCTTCCCTCCTCTTTGAAGAACTTTCAAACTTAGTATGTCCAGCGATAACAGGCCCATGGTCAATCCTGACATTAAACCTATGAGTGTGAAGAAATTCACTTATTAAATGTATTATTTCTTATGCTTTGTGACCCCTTGATTACCCTGCGAGCAAAGGCTAACTTTTCACAAAATGTACTGGTGTGCAGAAAGTTATAGCATCTAACACCAACTACCAATTCCTGTCCAGGGCTTCAAATAACGGCCGGTCAACGGACAATGTCCAGTCAAAAAAAGGCTTTGTCCGGTCAAATCCTTGAATGGCTGGACATTTTGTCCGCTCTTTTACGCTTCTAATGTAATTCAGACCTTTGAACACTTTTTTTAAATACGATTGGTCAAAATTGGACATTATTGATGTTCATGAAGGAAAAAAAGTGGGGAGAGAGAAAAAAAAAAGGCAGCCAGATCAAGAACTTTTATTATGTAAACCGTTCATAACACAAGGCCTCTGATAGGTTGCGGAAAAAAGTCCAATTTCATGGGATTTTCAGAGACAAATTCGCAGAAAAAAATGGCTGATTTGAAGGGAATTTCGTGGAAAAATTCAGGTCGAATTTTGCCAAAAAACGATCGTTAAAAAAAGCCAATTTTGCGGCAAATTTCACTAGAAAGCGATAGGTTTTGCGCTGATTTCACAAACATTTTTAATAAAACAAGACAGCAATTTTGCCCAGTTTTGGGGAGGGGGGAAATGATGAGCCTGTGCAATAACAACAACAACAGAAACACCAACTACGTATAAATGTTGCCCTTTTAAAAGCGGTGATTTTGAGCTCAAAACCCTCGCTTGCTTTGTATTGTATTGCTTGGTATTCTCTCGCACAGGTTTTTTTTTTATCAGAGATCATCATTTGCTCTGTTAACAACAATGAACTCAGAAATGTGCCAATGGCAAAGCTTTTTATATCGTGCACTGGCAAGTGCCCAGTTTTTCACAATAACAATCTAAGAACACCTGGTAGTTTTGGGACGTTTTCTCATTTGCGGTGACGAAGTTTCAAAATAAATTTGCAAGTTTATGGCAAAAAACAGCCCCATAAGCTGTGATAAGTCTCAAATATGTTGAACTGACGTGTATTTGGTAAGATTTCTACCGTGTGTATTTTTGTGAATAATTTTCGCAGATTTGCCTGAATTACAATATGGCTCTGCGACTGTGAGAAATTTCAGAAGCCCTGCGTGGGGGGTGGTAACAGTGGTTTTTCATTTTCTGGGAGTCGCGAGTTATTGCTTCATCCTCTATAAAGTTGTCACCACAAACTCAGGAGTAGGGTGTGTAGTGTTGTAAAGCATTATTATAACAGTCCGCATATATTTTATTGTAAAGTGCGGTCGGATAATCCTAGATGAAAGACACTTGTCCCACCAAAAGTGGGTTGTGTCCGAGCAAAAATAGGTTTGACCGGACAACTTGACCGGTGCCAGCGGGGAAATTATTTGAAGTCCTGCCTGTCTGTCCATCAAAAATAAGTGGGTACTAATTGGCTCTAGACTGGTTTAGCTATAATATTGCAACAGCTTGATCTACTATCTGGTAAGGCCCTTTTAGGCCTGCACAGCTGTCAACAATCTTTAGCACAGCATCAAAAACAAATATTGGATGGGGGGGTGGGGGGTATGGAACCCCCGGTCCCTCCCCTGTGCATGACTTGCTCCTAGGAAAAACTTTCAACTATTTTCATGATACATGTCATCAGCATTAAACATGAAAATCCCTTAACGTTGAATGGAGATTGTTGTTTTGTTATCGGGCCAAACAGTTATAAACTTGCGTTGAAAGGATTTGGCATTCTCCTACAGGTACGCTGAAATATTTAACATATATTTATAACTTCTCAACTTTCTTAGCCAATATTTATCATTTAGGGAATTTTCTTGGTTATTATACTTAAACTCCATATTAAATGTGGCATTATAATTCCTAAGGTGTACTTCTTCGGGAAAATAATGCATTTTTGGTTTTAAAACATAAAAAATCGCTCGTCCCTTCATACAAACCTGCAAAAAGAACCAATGCGATGTAAACACCAAGATATACCCAAAACATCGAATCCCTGTAGTTAAGTGCTTCTTCGGGAAGCTCATAACGAGTTCCATTGCATAAAACAGAACTTTCACCATCCTTTACACAAGTAAAATTCATTGTTGTCAATGTTCCTGTCAACTCTCTTGTTCAACTCTCAATGCTCCGCCATGTTGAAAATTCTGGTTCTGTCCTTAGCGTGACACTTATCACGTGCAAACTGGGTCGAGTGACAGTGACAGCGCGTGATGAAAGCGTGATGATAGGTGCTGTCTCCTTGCTGCCTCTAGGACATATAAAAACGCAAACGTGGATCTGAAAACGTCAACTTAACATTTATAATTGATAATTGAAGAAATGATCAGAATGACACTGTAATAGTTTGCCAAGTGGGATACATCCAAAGCCATGAGATCTCTTGTTTACATTCTTTGCACCTGTCGCAAGAACCCTTTTGTAAATGAGGAAAGACCTATTCTATCTTCTAGCTGATGTAGACCGTTCCGATCGCCAACCTTTATGCTCTTTGAAAGGCTTCCGGTCCAAAGAGACAGCCTGTTCAAGACACTAATGGTGAATTTGTATACCCTGTTTTAGACTAAAGACCTTGAAAACCATACCCTGTTCAGCTGCACATACCTGTATAGGCCAAATAGGCGAGTGCCCCCTCCCCTGGGGGGTAGGAGCATCTGGACTATTAATTAGAAGGTCAAAGGTTTAACTCATATTGGGAGCACACAGTTTTTTTTAACTTGTGACACGACTGAAAAAAAAAACATATTAAGATGGAATCCACCAGGAAATAGAGTAATTTTAATTTTCAGTGGACAAAAACCTTGTACCAGAATAATTTAAACCATATTACATTCTTTTTTACATTTTTCTAGGGCTAAATATCCATTAGTAATCTGTAATAACACCAAAGAAAATTTGTTATGAATGCCAGAGAAAATGAATGTCAAATATTTTCCCAAAATTATATCTTAAACATAAAATTTCAGAATTTGACCAGTGTTTTTACAATTCTTGTGCAATTTGACATTCATTTTCTCGGGCTACCGCAAGAAATTTTCTTCGGGGTTACTACGGATGACTAATTACATCTTAAGCCCTTGAAAAATTTAAAAAAGAATGCAATATTCTTTAAATTATTCTGGTACAAGGTGTTTTTCCTCTGAAAATTAAAATTACCGGTACTCAATTTCCCGGTGGATTCTGTCTTAAACTACATTATATTCTAAAGAGGGTGCAGGCAGTTGATTATTGCGGACGACAAGAGGAGTCCGCAATCCTAATTTTCATGTTGCTATTACGCATGCATCACATATATGTAGCCACTTCCACAAAGGACGAATGGAATGCAAAGAACGCAATTGATCAGCCGCATTTGGACCTTCTATCACTTGTAATCTGATCATGCATGTTTTGACTATCTGTCACGTGAAACTTACACAAAGCACAGCAATGGAGTAAAAAAAGCATTTCGACCTTTGTCACCCGCACCCACTAACCTTTGGTTATTACTAGTTATAGCTTATATGTATTATATTATGGGCACCACAAATAACTCCCTTGCCACCAAATGACCATACTTTTATTCAGCTCAGTGGTTTAATAAACTATATTACCTTGTGACTATTAGATAATAAAACAACACTCAATTCTAATATCATACTAATATCATTCAGTAGATGCTAGATACAATCAATAATATAGTGTGTCATTGAAAATATAGAACAAATGGCAAAATATGTCAATGACAATGAATGAATGTATATGAATTTTTCATAACACTAAGTAAAATATCATGCTTGAGTGAAACACAGCAAAAATATCATTATTTCAAAAGTCAAGTTTCCAATAGAATTATGTTTCAGTTTTCATAAATGAAAGACTTGATTATTTAATGGTAATAATCATAAATACACAAATTATAGTAACTAAATGACATGCAGTCTTTTTAGCTTATACTACAGGAAAAGATTTTACAAATTTGTGGAGTTCAATAAACCATTTTTGATATATTAAAATTCATACTTAGCTGCAAGGCTTGGGGAATAAAACAAAAGAAATGTATTATTCATTACTGAGCCTCAAGATGATTTCTTTTGTTTTTTCCCCCAAGCCATGCAGCCAAGTATGAATTATTTATATATCACAATTGGTCTATTCCACTATTAATATAAGTTTCTCTTATGTGTACTTCAAGATTGAAGCATTGATTGACTCCGTTGATATTTTGAAAAAATAAAGCCAAACATTAATGTATAAAGTTTGGCAAATGGAGAGCATCAATACAGGTAATCTGAAATAAATATGATTTGATTTATTAAATCACCATTTTTAGGCAAGAACAAAAAAGCAAACATGAGTAGGTAAGACAGGTGTACCTTCCCTGCTTCCTTTTGCCAAATCATGAGGCCAGCCATATATCGTAGTACTTAACTCAGGGGATATATGGGTAACTCATATATGCTGTATGGTAATGTTTTTTTCTTGTTTGGGCATAATTGTTTTTTGTTTTAGAGCAATATCATTACCAGTCTCTCTCACGAGGTTCTCTATATTCTAATCCAAGATAATCAAACACATCTTTTTCACTGAACACAGGAAGTGGTGTTCCTTCAAAAATTTTTTCGCCTCCTTTTCGAACTACTCCTGTGTTTAAAGAGTGTTCGGATAATGACATGCCATTATTTTTAGCAAGCAGCCTCATTGATCTATTAAAGTAGTCAGAGCCCGTAAAGTACAACAGTGAACATGCCCATTCATTGTAAGGCACCACAATGATGTCCAAGCGCCTGTGTTTTGTGTTTTCACCAGGAAGTTTGCAAACACCAAGATATTTTCTATGTTCGCCATTTTCAGCAAATGTAAGATCATCTGTCAGAAATCCTGCGGATTTCAGGCTATCAAGCAGTTTTGTCATGACACCCTCATGTGATTTTCCATCTGGGTGAGATACGATGACATCAACATCGCCACAAGTTGGTTTTCCTCTGCGGTAAGATCCACAAGCAAAAGCTTCCAGTCCTGGGTTTATTTCTAATGCTGCATTCTTGACGACTTCCTCAATCTGTCCAGCTTCTTCTCGTGGCATCCTCTCAAGAAACTCGTCATAATATTTCAAGCCAATTTCCTGTTGACGTGTCAACTTCCCATGATTTTTCAGATCTTCCAAAGTTTTCAGTCCTTGAGACACCCAAGCCTCTGCGGTCGTAGGTCCAGCACCCCAAACACCTGCAAACAAGTTAATGGCCTCTTGCTTGGTATCCACATGATCCAGTCTACGCAAATGCCCAGTCTCAACAATTTCCCAGATCTTCTTAGCAAGCCGCTCTCCAACAAATGGAAGACTGCTACATTCCTCCCATGTCTCAAGTTTCTTATGGTAATTCTTGACTGACGCAATGGCTTTCTTATATCCCAAGGCTCTCCATTGATCCTTGCTGTTGGCATAAGAAGTTGCCAGGATTTGCAACTTCTCTGTAATAAACTGATTGTGGTTTTGTTGGTGAGATGTGGAAGCCTGAGCACAGACTAAATTTTTTGAAAGCTTTTCTGGTGAAACATTGGGCGTAATAACTGGTGATTTCCCAGACTTGCTTCCTTCATCTCCACTGTCTGCATAATCGCTGTCATCATCAGCAGATGTGACTTGAGTCTTTAATGAAGCCTTTTTACTTGGAGATCCTTGAACTGCAGACTTTATTTCATGTGTTGTTCCGGTTTCTACATCACGTTTAGACCCGGAAGGTCCTAAGTCACCAGCCACCAGCCCTGAGGTCTGTTCCACATTGAAAGTTTCATTACTTGACAGGTTTTGAGTGGATTTGATCTTACTATCATGGCAAACTTTGCCCAAGATGTAATGTTCTATCTCTACGAGATTTCCCTCAGAAAGACAGTTGCTCAACCAGTCAGAATCCACAACCTTGACTTTATCAGGAATATCTTTCACCCCTAAATACTTTTTCACTCTCTCTAGTTTCATTTTCTTGTCGACTATCACGTGTGTGGTGGCGCTATCCAAATTTTTGATGTGTTTTCCGCCATGCCTTTCAAGCTGTTTGGCCAAAATGGCAGTTCTAGTCTTTCCAAGACCAACATCCACAATCACGGCGCTAATCCCCGAAAAATCAGGGCTAAACTTCCGTTTCTTCTCTGGTTGATTACCCAGAGAACTGTCATCATTACGCGTTTTAGACATTAGTTCATGAGCGCCTGATCATGAAAAGAGAGAAAAACGCTGACATGAAGGTCGCCATATTGTTTACCTAGTCCCCAGGCGTCCCTCGCTTGTCGACGTCCTGGCCGTCATAAAATCCGGACGTTTTTGTTTACCTCTGGGAGAAATTTTTCGGGCCGGAGCACTGACAGAAAGAAAATATTGAGTTTCGGTTGCCATTTTTGACGGCCAGGGCGTCAACATTAAGGGACCTACGATCCGACAACGGCGACGCCTATGCATGAAAACGTAGCTGAAAAATACAAAGTCACCCAGTTACTCAAAGTAGGCCCAGGGGAGGGGCGGGCGGGGGGGGGGGGACTCCCTTTTTTGGCCTTTACTGGTATGTGCCGCTTGTCAAGGTCTTGAGTTTTAAGAAGAGTATAAAATTTCCCCATTAAGCGTCTGGACAGGGGGGTTTTTAGAGGGTGTGTCCCGGGTCTTAAAGGGGGTATGGGGGTTTGAAGGCCGCGGGGGCACAGCTCTACCCAGACTTCCTTGGAGGGCCCCACGAAAAGTAGGGAAGTGGGGGGGGAACTCAAGGGGGGGGCCCGCGTCCGAGTTCAGAGAGAGAAAATAACATTTATCCCCTGGCCGTTTTGGTTCTCAAGTTCTAGCCTGCGTGGCAGGTGCAAAAGGGGGGGGGGGGGGGGGAGGGGAGTAAAGCGCTAA